TAAATTAAGTAAATAAACTTAAAGTAATATAAAAATTAAAAAATAATAGTATATAAAATTTTCAACTTTCAATTGAATAAAATAATTTTTATTCAATTGAAAAATTCAAATAAACATTTTCGAAAGAAAACGTAATCGAATAATATGTTTGTTCAATTAATTAATAAAATAATTATAAATCAGTAATGATTTATTAAAATATGAATAAATTTTGAAGAGTATATTCATTTTCATGCTGATTTGTGACACTTTTTTATTGTTATCTTTTTCTGACAAAGTTTTTACCTTCCAAACAAGTTTTAATTTTTGTTTCTTACTTATTTCACACCTCTCCAAATTATTTCTTCGACGTTTCTGCTGTACCAGTCAGTGTAAGAAATTGCTATCAAAGAGATATTTATTTCTTGGGAAGAAAAAAGAAAGTTCGTATTATATATTCCTTTAAAAGGTGCTAACCTCCGACGTAAAAGTTATTGAGAAAAACTCAAGTCCCACGTCAACTAGAGATTAGACAATTGAATAGTATATAAGTGGAAAGCAACCCTCACCTTATAAGCCAATTTTATAAGGTTAAGTTAGGTTTAATCCACTATTCTAACATGTTACATAAATAAATCTGAAGATTCTTAACTCTCAAGTGATATAGATTCCCACGAGTCGACTACCTTGTTACCAGGTTATTATATACACTTTAGCATATATAATTATATATGCTCCTTTACTACTATATATTATATTCAACTTGTTTGAAGCATGTGCGCAACTATTTTGTTACCAATAAGATGAAGAATAGGAAAAATATAAATTATAGTTTGACGGTGGCTATGATCACTGATTTCCCTCTTTTTCTAGATGAAGAATTATATATTACCTGTGACCACGAAATTCTCCCTGTTTTATTTTTATAAAAAATGAATTAAAGATTTTTTTAATACAAAATTGTTATTATTATAATATTAATCTCTGTTGAAAACTATAAATACATAAAAGATAAATATATTTTTCTTGACATATTTATTTTATATTTAAAATGAGGATTAAAATCTAAATTAATGCATTTGTTTATTACTATTGACGTATATGTTAATTAATTAGGCGTTAAAATAAAGCCGTTAATCATAGTGAAATTATCAAATTACAATGACTTTTTAACCGGTTTAACTCCGTACATTAGTGAATCGCGAATTAATTAATGTGATTAAATGAACTTAATTCATAATCTCGAGGTTTAATTATGAGCATATAATATTAAATACTTGAATAGTAGTATTACTTTTCGTGGAATATATATATATATATATATATATGTATATATAAAAGAAAAATCCTCCAAATTAGGTAGTCTGCAAACAGCACCATGATCCCCTTTTCTATTCCAACAACCACCATCCTACCCAAAGTTTATTTAAGGGTGTCATTAATTTCAATAATTAGATAAAATTAATGTTATTAATTAAATTAATTAAATTGATAAGTTTTTTTTTATAAAAAATTTGATCCAAATCAAATAAATTAAATTGTAATTAGTTGAAATAATTGAAATCTATCATTTTTTCTTAAAAGGAATTAATTAATTTGAACTAAACCAACTAATTTTAGTCAATTTAGTTTAGTTTAAATTAAAAAAATTGATAAATTCGAACCAGACTACACTAATTAAATTTGATTAATTTGATTTTTTCCCTCAAATATATAAATTAAACTGGTCTATAAAAATTCCATTTAACATCATAAAATTTGGTTAAAGAAAAATAATAGTCAAGTAAATCATATTTTACTAAAGGAAATCACATGATTTGATTTGATTTTCTTCTTCAATTACATTTATTTATTTTTATTCAATCTTATTAGAGTTGGATAAAATTCTTAATAATCATATACAAAGTTATTTGTTTTACCGAAAACAATTTTTTTAAATAGATAACATTAAAAAAAAAAAAAAAACCTTTCTAGACTTTATTGAAACGTGTTGTAAATCATATGATGTTAAAAGGAACAATTGACGATTGATGGTGAGATTATTGTTGAAAAAGAGGGTAAGGGAAAGGGAATGGGAGAAGAAAAGAAGAGTAGTTTAGATGTGTGTGAGCTGGAACATTTGTTGCCTTCTTCCAGAGTTCTTGTCATTATTCATGCATTCCTTTTCGTTGCTTCTTTCTTCCTCTTCCCGTCACGTCGTCGGTGTTAGGAGTGTGTAAAAATTCTGGATTCATAATCAATCTGATTTGTATCTAAAAGTTTGATTCATTTAAAAAAAAAAATCTTAACTGATTCATTTTACAAAATTAGTTTAATTGCCTAGTTATTTTTATAAAATAGATTAATTTGATTTTTAAAAAAATAGATTTATATATAAGTAAAAATGAATAATTATATAATATTGAATTTATTTAATTTAAAAAAATTAAACTAATTCATTTTATAAAGAAAATATGGATTAACTGATTCACTTTTTAAAATTGATCGATTTAGTTTGAACTTTTTTAAAATCCAATCCATGAATACAATTGGTGGATGCAACCTTGGCCCATGTCGTGAATCTCCGTCACTACCCTTACCCTATCCTTCTTTTCCATTCACAACTGCACTTTGAGCCTTCATTTTCCTCGTTTCTATTCCAAATAAAGCAAAACTCCCACATCATGTTTAATTTACAATTATATATAATTTCGGTAATTTTTTAGGTGACTGTCACGTCTAAGGAATGTTAAACTCAAATATCCCAAACTTTCTGTTTCTAATTTATTAGGACCATATATAAATCAACTTAAACAAAGTGTCGTATTATATAAATCAGAACCGCTTTTTGTTACACATTTTTTTTAACAAAAATGATTTCTCTAATATTGCATTACACAAATTGATGCAAAATTAATAGTATTAATTAGCTAGACTAGTAGCAGTGTAGTTACAACTTACAAGGTACTAATTTTTATTTTTATTTTTCATGGTACTTACTACCGTTAGAATTTTGGTCGACAAAAAATAACTTTTATTTTTTAAAATAAATAGTCATTTTGAACTCAAAAAGTAAAGTAGAGTGCTATAACATTACTATATTAGTCTCTGAAATAAATATAAAAATTGCAAAGTATTAAATTAGTTTCTAAATTTATCTATTTATTTTCATCTTTTTTTTTATCTAAATATATATTAATATTATTATTATAGTCACACATTTTTTTTACTTTGGATAAATGTAATGGTTAATTATAATTTTTAATAATTTATTTAATATTTTGTCAATTTTATGAACTGAAATGATAGCGTTTTTTTTTTAATTTAGAGACCAAAATAATCATTTATTCTAATTTATATATATATATATATATATATATATTTTAATTTGTTAATAGTTTTAAAAAATCTTATCTAAAAATTCACTTTAAACCTAAAAATATGTTAAACTGACTTAATTTGCTATACATATTGCATAGACAAATTTTATTCAATGCCCTTCCTACTTTACATGTAAAATTGTTACTCAGTTATTATTATTATTATAATATTTGATTTGCATTTAAAATAATGTTAAAGATTGCATCATGAAATAATCTCACCTATCGTTCTCCCATAAGTCATAACTACCTTGTTGTACTTTGAATTTTGTTTTACAGGACTAACAAACAGTAGTTCAGAAAGTAGGTGGCCGCGAGGAATGTATTTGTCGATCTTCATTATACTTTTGATGATATCCAAGGAGGGGATAGAAAGAATAGACAACACCAAAACAAAAGGATACATAACGAATAAGAATAATTATTGCGCCAATATCACTAATAATTAATTTTTAGTTATACTATCCATTTACTCATTTATCTTCTTTTTTTTTTATCTATTAAACTATTCATTTTTATATTTTATCTTTAATAATTAAATTAATCTGATTTTAAAATAATAATAATTTTTTTTTAATTTTATCATATAATTTTGTATTAATTTTTAATTATTTTATAACATAAAACTTGTAATATTAGATTAAAAATTATATTAACATTCAAATTTGAAAGGTTATAAATATAGTGAAAAAAGTCACATGAACAATTAGAAAATAGTATGATAAAATTATATATATGTTTTTTTTAAATTTTTTGGACTTATTTTCTTTTATCATGTTTATGATACTTTTTTATTTAAATTTTAGTTATATTCAATAGTTTTTATATAAGTGAGTTTAACAAAATAAATTTTAAGTTTTGGGTTAGTAAAAAAAATATCCAAAATTATACGTTAAAATTAAAAATAATCATTATTTCAAGTAGACCTAATTTGTCCAAATTTAGAAATAAAAAATTAAAATAAATATTTTAATATACAAAGGACTAAAATAAATTTAATAGATAAGATAAAGGATTAAAAATATAATTTAATTTTAATTCTTCAATAATTACATTGTTTGTAAGGTAAATAATTAATAAAAAGGTAGAACACAATTAATAAAAAGATAAATAATTAATTTAAAAAATGTTACAAGCAACTTCGGAAAACAAATTAATTCATTTCAAAAGTCAATGTTATTAACTAAACTAATTAAAATCAAAATTCAATGTTATTGACTAAATTAATTAACTTAAATAGTATAAATCAGTTGAATAAGTGTTATTGTAAAAAAAAAAAAAAAGGCAATTTTTGATTAATTTGAAGAGTAATTTTAGAAAAATATAAATTGATTACTCTTTTTTTGAGAGCTGATAAATTATTACTATGAAGTAAATTAATTAATTAAGAAATAGAATGTTTGAGTTTAAAATAGTAAACGGAATTGAGAAGGCGAAAATATAATAAAAGTGATTTATTTATAAAGATGAATTTAATCCATGAAAAGTGAAAGGGGGAGTGACAGAGAGAAGAAAAGTAGTAGTAGTAGTAGTAAAAAGGTAGGGCCCAGTGGGGTTGGGCCAGATGAAAGAAAGTGTAATTAAACAGGAAACTTTAACGGTTAAACCCCGAATCTCAGCACACACATATGTCCCTTTGCATTGCATATATACTCATACTCGCTTCATTCCTCTCAAGTCTAAACCAACCTTCTCTCTCTCTCTCTCTCTTCAATGGCGAAAGACATGGAAGGCGAGGGTCACGTTGGGTTGGCGCACAAGGACTACCAAGATCCACCGCCCGCACCCTTCTTCGACCCCGCCGAGCTCCGCAAGTGGTCCTTCTACAGAGCCCTCATCGCGGAGTTCGTCGCCACCCTCCTCTTCCTCTACATCACCATCCTCACCGTCATCGGCTACAACCACCAGACCGACTCCACCGCCGACCTCTGCAACGGCGTCGGCATCCTCGGCATCGCCTGGGCCTTCGGCGGCATGATCTTCGTCCTCGTCTACTGCACCGCCGGCATTTCAGGTCATAATTACTCATAACTCATAAAACTATTAATACCTACATACTTTAACTCTCTCATTCAATATGATGTGGCTGTGACGACGCAGGAGGTCACATAAACCCGGCGGTGACGTTTGGGTTGTTTCTAGCGAGGAAGGTGTCGCTGGTGAGAGCGGTTGCGTACATGGTGGCTCAGTGCTTGGGGGCCATATCCGGCGTTGGCCTTGTCAAGGGCTTTCAGTCCAGCTACTACAACAGGTACAAAGGTGGCGCCAACACTCTCTCTCATGGCTACAGCAAAGGCACTGGCTTGGGCGCTGAAATCATCGGCACCTTTCTCCTTGTCTACACCGTCTTCTCCGCCACCGATCCCAAGAGAAAAGCCAGAGACTCCCATGTTCCCGTACGTTTTTTCACTTTAACTTAATAACCACCCATATTATAATATTATTTTTACAATTCATTTACATGTACGTAGGTGTTGGCACCCCTTCCAATTGGCTTTGCGGTGTTCATGGTTCACTTGGCCACCATACCCATCACCGGCACTGGCATCAACCCTGCTAGAAGCCTTGGACCTGCTGTCATATACAACAACCAGAAAGCATGGGATGACCAGGTATGTATATATATATATACATGTATTGTGCATGCATCATGCATGCATGCATGTCTCTCTTTTTCACTATTAGTTAATAATGAATTGGATTGGATTGATTTTAGTGGATCTTCTGGGTTGGGCCCTTCATTGGTGCTGCCATTGCTGCGATTTACCACCAGTACGTGTTGAGGGCCCATGCGGTGAAGGCGCTCGGCTCTTTCAGGAGCTCCACAAACCTGTAACTTGATCCGGCAAAGCTTGCTAGGAGAGGAACTATGTCCTTTAATTTAATTTAATTTAATTTAATTTAATTTGCTTATACATATATGGTGGATTGGAATTTGTATATCCTCGTCACTATGTGTGTATTTATGTTTAATTGCTATTTGTGGGAACATCCATCTCGAAAGACATGTTAATGTTAACGTTAATGTTAATTTGTGTATGTATTTTGAAGTGTTATGTTACATTGTGTGATCCTCTTGTCTATCTTAATTCATGTCCTGTGGCTCTGGTTGTCGCGTTTTCTTGTCGATCCTTCCGTGTCGTTTTACGTAATATTTTTGGGAAATTTGGAACGATATGGTGCGATGTTGGGATCACGTGTAGTGAAGAGTTCGTTTCTGAGTGCGAGATTGTGTTGTGTTGTGTCTATTGGATCCTGTCGCATTATTGGTGTGGTCACTCCAATACTTGGAGATGGTCCATGCTTGTTTATTTTTTCTGTTGTGAATTGAAGGGGGTGTGGTCCTATCACCTATGTGCTGATATTTATGGGACTCAGAGTATCTCCCCGGGGATGATGGCGTGTTTTTCCATGTTATGTTTATGGATGAATGTGGGGGACCGCAGTTCATAGGAGAATGTGTCTTTATTATGGGGGTGGCGAATAAGGAGCTTCAAACCAAATGCGCAAACTATAATTTAGTGCAACGTAAATCTTTCAAAATATTTGTCTTCACATAAGTCGCGGGGAATAGAAAACCTGTGATATTTAACGTAAAACCTTCGCTAAATGTCTGAATTCTGGAAATGAAAACTAATTGAATTAGCTGCTTTGCTATATATGCACGATTGGTCTTCGTATGAATCTTTACCAAATTCAAAACCAACAACCATTCAAAGGCTTGTGTCTTAATAAATGGAAATAGAGAATTTTACTTTTTGCTGTAAAACACGCTTTTTAAATTAATCATTGCATTTAAATATTCGTATATATATTTTTATTTTATTCTTATCTTATTATATCAATTATTTGCCATATCTTTGACTTTTATTCCTCTTTTTTCTATATCTCGTTTTCTTTTACTTCTCTTTTTTGAAAGCTTTTCTTTTACTTCTTAAAATATACATTTTTTTTATAGCTTTACTAAAAAAAAAAGCGACGTGTTAATTGTTTGTCTTCATAAATTAATTCATTAATTGTGAAGAGAAAAATGGGGAGGAAAAGATGAAAATGCACGCCAACAGACCTTGGGGGGGACACATCATCTTGCCCCACCAAAGCTTATTGTTGTCCCTCTCTGCCATTGTTTAAGATGGAGATGATAGTACAAAACGGTAAGTATCTGAAAGGGACAAATTTAGTTTCTTCGATTAGGTTTGGCCTTGGATAAAACAAAACGTTTCCGTCATGCAAGTTATATGCTGGTTTTAACCAAGATATTCATGTGATGCGATTGCGACTATTTGTTGCAGTTTATTACAGCTAGAAGAATTTGGGGGCGGGCCTATCCTTTTCTTTTTCAATCCATCTCAACCATTTTGCTCACATGCCATCAACACAATACTTAACCATAATGGTTACATTACCCAGATTTATCATATCAAACACTATTAATTAATTTTAATTAAATTCTATATGAATATAATATTTCTCCTTTCACCTATGCATACGTCTTGTAAGTTTTATTATAAACTCGGAGAGAGAGAGAGAGAGAAATGGACATGCCTACATAAGATAGAAATGAGCAGCGGTTGGAAAGAAAAAGGCTTCCATTTTTTAATGGGAAAAGCAATAAAAAGCTATGCATCGAGTTAAAGATGCACTTTAAAAAAAAAAAAAAAAAGAGAGTTAAAGATGGGATAAAGGAGCTAGTCACATAAGGGAAGAGGTGGAAACTATGGAGACTTTTTTAAGTTACATTATATTTATATTGATTTTCATAATTATTATTATTTTTCTGTCAAATTATTCATTTTATTTGTAGCTACAACGGTTTAAATCTTGCATAACAATTGACCAAATAAGTTCAGATACATACTGAAAAAGACTATAGAATAATAAGAAATTCCAAGTTTAACATTTTACTCGCATAGCATTTCACATGACATAACCGAATATAATGACTTTTATTCTGCCAACTATCCAAACACACATGTACAGAATACTTTCACAGAAGTACATACATATTCTTCATATTTTTTTTTTTTACAAATACTTAAAGTTATAAACACCGACTTTATTTCATGTGTCTAACACCGGAATCTCCCAAAGTTCTCAACCACCACCAAGTTCATTAAAAACGAGAGTTTTGTGGTTCAACATCAGAACAAGTTGCAATTCCATTCCAGCTAAAAATTGGGTGTCGAAAAAAGAGTTAAAATTAAAATAGAGGTAGCACATGCACTGAAGCACATTGTGCAAGAGTGTAAGAATTGAGCAGTGGACAAACTAATATTTTGGCATCTGGCCGGAGACAAAGTAAAGTTTGGATAAGAATGATGAGAAAGAGGGTGGGATTATTGTGCGGACCAAGTTATTCCTGATTCCTGAACAACAATTTCTTATTTCTCAAAAAAGTGAATTGAAGCTGCTGTCTTCATGAATTTGATTCTGACGACCCCAACGGCATGGATGACACTTGGCTGGAGGAGGAAAATTATGTGTGTACTTGAAATTTGAAAAACATGTTATGAAATGGTTTGTTTATCTTTTAAATTTTAGAAGACGTGAGGTATGATGCGAACCTCATGCAGATTCACATAGGACCTATGTTCATGGGATAACAAAATTAAAAATGTTGTCCCCTCTCCACGTACTATCTCATGTCCCTCCAATACGTCATTTAAAAAGTTCACCTCACCCTTAATTAATTAACATTCATGATAGATCAATTCTATTCGAACTTATTCTCGATGGCTTATTTGCGTGGCATGCAAATCTCAAAATATAACAAGCTTTCTTAACAATAATGGTACAGACATCACTACTAACAAATATTTCTATATATCCGAAAAAAACCCATAAACTTGCAAGTCAGACATATAATCGTGTTATTTTTGTTTAAACTGATGAAGTATGTAATATAATTGTCTTCGAGTCGATTTTATAACATCTACAAAGGATAATGCTTCCTGATTAAAACCAAATTTATCAACAATTTTATGTTGACTTGGTGACATATTTGAAAACAATTTGGATACAAGGACAATGAAATTAAATTTCATTTTCATTGTATATAATGTTATGTATTTCTCGTAATTAATATTAACTTATTTAGTTAAAAATTATTAAAATAAAATTTCTATTTTCAATATATTTCTTTTTGTGGTAAAAATTATCATGATAAAGAAGTATATTGAAATAATATATGTATATTTACACATTTATTGTTTTTAAATTAGAATATAAAAATATTATCTTGAAAAATATAAAAAGGTATAAAATATTATTATTATTTTTATATGGGAATCAAACTCATAGCAAGACATTTAAACCAACTTATTCACTCTATTTAACCTACTAATTTAAACTTATCGGTAATATTTAATAATAGTTAAAATTATAATTTTATGCATTTAATTTTTTTATGACAAAAATGTGCATTCAAATTAAATTAGATTTTCCATGCCATTTTCCCATATCAAATGGTCCTCATGGAAAAATATACGTTTGTGTTGTTAATATATATTTTTAACAGCTGTGTATGGGTCTCTCATGAAAGTGATAAAGGCCTCAGGAGGAAGTAGTTTGGCTAAACTGGGCCAACGAAACAAGGGATCCAGTTCAGGACTTCCAAATTTCGGCCTCACCAGGCAGATGCATCATCATGCACGTACTGTATCAGATCTGACCCAAAGTCATGTATGTTTTGAAAAACAAAATGAAAGCAAAAGAGGTTTTGACGATGTGTGTGTGTGTTTTTAACAAGAGGTACAATTCTCTTTCATTAAGAGTAAAGAATTGCAACTTTGTAATCTAATCAAGGATCAAAGAATATAATGTGTGATACCGATGAATGATAATAGATAAAAATCATGTTTGATTCGGAAAGAGGGATATGGGTGTGGACTGGGTTCTTTTTACCGGGAAATTTGAGTGAGAAATTTTTGGAACATTCATCAAGTAGTTTTTTCTTTTCGAATACAAGATCCAGTAGTTATAACTTATAAACATTACTTTAATGCTTCTTACTTCTTATTTTGTATAAATATATTAATTTCAATTTTGAGAGGGGATTTTTTTTTTTTTTTTTCCGTGCAAAGACCATTGAGTGGGAAATCTCTGGATATAATTTATCTTATATATTTAATTAAAATAATTATCTCTATTTAATATATTTTTTGAGTGGGAAACCTCTGTATATAATTTATGTTATATATTTAATCAGAACAATTATCTCTATTTAGTTTTTTTAACTAGTTACGAGAAAGTCTGTCAATTTTTTTTATTATAAATTCTTATTTTAATAATAATAATATTTTAGCGTGTATTTAATAGATCAAATATTTATTATACATAATAAAAATTTATAAAAAAAAAGATATATAAATAAATATTATATTTGAATATATAATTTATATTTAAAATTAGTATAAATAAAAATTTTAAATTTATTGATTATCTCTCAAAATGTTATTGTTGAAAATAATTTCTAAAATTACAAAATAACTATTTATATTTCATATATAAGATTTTTTTTATTCATTAAAATTTTTTATCATTTCATCCTTGCGAAAGATTAGGGATGATAAAAATATCCATATCCATATGTATCTGTGGATAAAATTCGTCATAGATAATAAATAGGTAGCCTAAATAGATGCTCGCAAATAATGTATACAAATATTTTTTTTATCCGTTTATAAATGAGGTGGAGGTGGTACCATAATATCCATATCCACGAGTACTGCTAAATAATATTATTTAGAAATTAATTTTTTTTTCTTACAATTTTTCTATTAATTTTAATATTTCAAAAAAATTATCATTAATTACAAGTTTAAAAATTAGTATCAATTATTTAGTTTTAGTATTTCAATATATTTAACATTAAATATAAATTTAAAATTATTTATAATATTTTTTTATTTTTAACATAATTTACAAATATTCATAGATATTCATAAATATTAATAAAATTTGTAAATATACATTAATTAGATATCCACACATACATGAGACAAGTACAAGATATATCTAAGCCCACGAGTCCTGTACTCCTACTGCCATCTCTAGGAAAGGTCATACTAATCTTAAAATGGATTAAGAAATAATTTTTATTTTTATTATGAAATAATTCTTTAAAATATTTAATTAAAAGTACCAAATGTCTTCCTTGATATAATAATTATTTTTTACAATACTTATTTTAGTAAAATGAAAAATAATTAAAGGAGACATTATTACATTTCAAAATATATAAATATTACGACATAAATCACTTTTTTTGGGTTGAAACTTGAGATTATAGAAAAGTAATTTTATCCATAAAAATAAAACTATTTTTTTTTTTTAAGAAAATAGGTGCGCCGTGTTGATTGGGCGAAGACGGAAACGAAATCAGCGAAGCAGTTTTCCACATCTTTGGTCTCTGTCTCCGGTTTTCTCTGAATCCAACGCACACCTCATTGACACGGTACCTTCTCATCTTTCTCTTGCTCTACTACTTCAGATCTACGATTTCTATGCCAAATTGTCATCTAACCGTTTTCGGATTCTGATGCGATTTCCTACTCACTTCAACTCCCTTTCCTTCCCGCCTCTCGCGATTTCCTTTTCTCATTCACCATTTTTCTTTCTCTACTCTTTCTTTACATAATCAACGCTTCAATTTTCATTTTCTTCTGATCGATTATGCTGCGTTTCTACTTATAGTTATACTTATAGCCACAGAAGGTTACGCTGCTAATCCCTTCGAATCCTGCATCGGTCTGAGTAACTAGTGTAGATCGTTGGTGTTGCTACTGCAAACTCTTTATTATTTGTAAATATTTTGATTCAATTGGACACAGCGTTGGGAATTGCTTTTTTATCTGTTCCTGGAACTTGTGGAGTGATATAATCAACGCGGATTATTTGTGTATGTTGCCTTTCAATTGGATACGATGTGCATTTTGATGTGTTTCTTTGATCTGCTTTCTGCGCGATATGATTGTCTTGAAAAGCAAAAGTAAAATTAGGTTTTCAAGTTTTGGTTGCGCGGCATAGGCATAGTGTTAAAATTGAATCACTCCGCCAAGGGAGAATAGAAGAAAATGAATACGTATTATGATTTGTAATATTCAAATGTAGTACATTAGTATTCGTGAGATGAAGATTGAGGTGTTACTGCATAAAAGTAGTTATTTTCTTGTTCTCTTTCCGAGTGATGATTGAGGTGGTTTGTTTGCAAAAGAATTCGTCTGTGTTGCTGGAGGACTTGGGTTATGTTTACTTTCTAGTAATTTCATGAGGATTTCCTGACAATTACATTAATAACCCTGAGATTTCATGAAATTACTCTGATATCCGCTGCTTTTTTAAAGTTAGGTCACAATATAATTCTTTTCAAATAATTAAGAGCTAATGTATGTCTGAGAGCTGATAGTATAATGTTTTTCATGAAACTTCTAGAAGTGTTAAGTTAATTTACTGTAATTTCATTTATTAGTGTTGATAATTACCATCTGCTTTTATCACAGAATGGCGGCATCCAACAGGGGTCAAGGTGGAATTCAACAGTTGCTGGCTGCTGAACAGGAAGCGCAAAGAATTGTCAATGCTGCGAAAAATGGTATTAGTGCTTTTTTTTTGTCTCCCTCTATCCCTTTTGCGTTGGTCTTTTTATTTTCACACAGAGCTCTAAGACTGGGTTATTGGTTTTATTATGAGGGGCATTGGTTTGCTTGTGTCCTCATACATGTGAGAACAAATTCTGAGCTACTCCTATGATAAGCTACACCGACACCTATAACTTAGGTCGAATCTCTTTATTGGTAAACTAATCAGTATCAGTATTCGGGATCTTTACTGTTAGAAAAATTGGCTAGACTGAAGCAAGCCAAAGAAGAGGCTGAAAAGGAGATTGCTGAATATAGAGCTCAGTTGGAGTACGAGTTTCAAAAGAAATTGACAGAGGCAAGTCTATGAATCTATGATAGGCTACAGCAAAAAATAAATAAATGTTTTTGTTGTACCATAATAAATTAGTAAATCACTAAATAAGTGAATATCTATTATCTTATTCTAAGTTTGTGCGCATTCATTCTTATGAGTACAGAGTAGTGGAGATTCTGGTGCTAATGTCAAGAGACTTGAGCAAGAGACTGAAGCAAAGATCCATCACCTGAAAACTGAGGCTGGGAGGATATCAGGGGATGTTGTCACCATGCTCCTCAAGTATGTAACAAGTGTGAAGAATTAGAGATATATTGGTGCTGTGAAGGAACTATTGAGTTATTAAGAATAATATAATTTCATTTATCTTGTTTTTATTGGTGACTCTAGATTCTGGTGCAGATAAGATTCTTGCTTTGGCTATAATACCCGGTACCTTGCTGCCATGTATTGAAAATAATTTCGAGTTTGTTAAATAATCAGTTAAAGAATTCATAGGCATGCCTATATGCATCACCATTTCACCCAAGGTCTGAGGAACACTTTGTCAGTGTATATCGAGTAAAGCTGGAATGAATGGTTTATTCTTTTATGAACACCATCATATTCTTGTACCAAATCTTGGCTTTTCGAAGGTGTCTCTGTTCAATGCAGTTTCTACCCTGAGCAATAGATTGAGCCCTGCTTTGGAATAATATGAAGCAGACACAATGCAAAATGTGCACAAAATAAGATAGGAAAACCAAAAAATTTAACTTATTTGTTATTAGGGAATATGATTACTTTCACTGTTGGTTTTTGGTTCGTGAGAGTTTAAAGAGATGGCAAGTTGTCTGTTAAAAGTTATGGTATGCTGCATAAGCTGCTGCATATCAATTATACTGGTTGAACTAACCCTTATTCATATAATAGCTATCACTATTATCGTTTAACATAGAATTTAATATTTTTGTGCTATTTAATTCTGAAGGAAATGATTTTAAGTAACTTATTGAATTGTACTTTAACTAAATTTAAAGAAATTAACTATAATAACTAGACTTTCTTGTTCTTGGATCAATAAATGCAAGAAAAGCAATATTAAAAATTTGAGTAACGTCAGTCTCATGCTACTTTCTGTAACGTTGAGAAAAAATTGGTAGAGACAAATCCCGTGTTAACACTCAAGAATGTTTGATTAAAAAAAAAGTGAGAAATAGAGTAAAGAAAAATATAATAAATATAAATTTAGAAAGAGAGAAATAGAATAAATGAAAATAAGTGAGAAGTGGTTAAGTGGCCAATTCAAATTTCTTGTGAGTCATAAATTTGTTGGTCCTTTGAACTAAATTAAATCTTTGTTTTTTTTTTCCCCCTGAATTCATATATATATATATAT